TGCTGAGGGGGGGGGGGGGGGGGGGGNNTGGGGGGGGTAGGTTCAAGCTTACGGCATGTGCGCGGCACGCCTTGTTTTGCCTGTGACAGGAATATGTGCTGCCGCAACAACCTGCTTGCGAACCGGCCGTTGCGTCTCGGTTTGCCATTTTAATGGGTGCTGTGATGGCGGCGACCTCCCACCCAGCCCTGCGCATGTGCCGCTGCGTTGTCAGTCTCAGCATTTTGCCTTTCCATACTATCTATAGCACTGCTATAGTGGCCGTGAGGTCGGCATGACGCTGGTGCAGGACAGATCCTCATGGTTGTCCGATGTGTTCAACGAAGTGGACTTGTTCGACGCGCTTGCAAGAGCGAGTGAGAACTGTCCGAACCGACAAGGTTTGAGCACTCGAGTCGTGCTTGTAGGATTTCGAAAACTGCCCAGCATCCTGTGAGGAGGTCGTTGTCCAACCCATGGCCTGCATTGTCATTTCGACGGATGATGCATGGAGCTTCAGCTGCAGCTGTGCAAACGTCGGTCTTCACCGCAAGCAAATCTGTGGACTAGGGCAACCAGGGTTTGCATTACTCGTACGTTCCGATGTACCTTATTCCTACAGGTACAGTAATTGCGCCGGTTGTTGGTGCCAGCGTATCTTACCGGATAGCAAGGGACTCGAGTATTCTGAAGCCCCTCGACGAGCAAGATGAGTTGTTGTTTTTGTTTGACTGGTTGCTGTGGTTGCCTGCCGAATTGCCCTGCGATTCACAAAACGGCAACCGCCGCCTCAGCTTACAAACGTGACAACTAGTGACAACACCTAGACCCGAAACAAGACGAAGACTTGCCAATGCCTTCATCAAGACAAAGACTTGTCCACGCCTGAGGCTTCTGCAGAAGCAGCAATGCCAAGAGGTTGCAGACAGGCTGTTGGCTGACTTCCAGACTTTAGAGCAGCAGCTTCTTGGCCCTAAAAGGGGTTCGGGGCTTTCGGGCTTAGGGGTTTAGGGGTCTCAACGTTGAGCAACGCTTTCAGGGATGTTTGCGGTTGCGGGGTGGCGGGGTAAACCTTAAACCCTGAATTGGACTAGTCGAAGAGGGGCCCAGGGTGGCGTGAGCCCCTTGTTTGAAGCTTGGGGTCCATTAGCTTCGATCCAGCTTCGAGCTAACAGGCGGCAAGAATACTACGAAGATTACGGATAACACGAGTGGTATTAATGTCACTAGTAGCAATTATCATACTAGCAGCACGTTTACTTCTACTGTACTAACACTAGCTAGCCCTAGCCTAGAACTGTGAAGTCCCTGCAGCTGACACCAACACTTGGAAGTAATGGGTAAATGGACAAGAAGTTTTCGAGTTGTTTAAGCGATACAGAAGGCAAAGGTTCAAGAGGCATGAGTGAAACGAAACGCTGGTAAATTTAGGTTCAAGCACAGACATCAATCCTAAATCATCCAACGCTCTGACCCTACGCTTGTGGAACTTCAAAACAAGCGCCGCAAACGCCACCGAAGAAGCATTCCGCACCCAAAAATTTGCGCACTCTGAACCCCGACATCCAACACGCTAACGTCATCTCCCCAGACCACCCGAAACCCAAAACCCCAAAAACCCCTAGAGGCCCTACACCCTCGGCGCAATGCAGCAAACCAGCCACGGAGGCACCCTGATGTTTGCGTCTCTATCGGCTCACTGGGACATCCTTGGGCTTGCGCTTGGGCTTGTCGCTTTATGACGCTGGGCCGCAACTGGGGTCGTCATGGTTTAGGGGTGTAGAGCACAAGGGTTCCGGAATCAGGAAGATGCTGGAGCGGATTTTCGTTAGAAGGGTTTTCCAGGTTTTTAGCGCGGGGTCTGGATTCAAGATAAGGTTTCGGATTGTAAGGCTGCGTGATTGTAGGGTTTCTAGACCTTTAACCCTGGGGTTTCAGGATGTGGGTTTCAGAAGTTTGTTGGGTTTGTGGAGGGTTTTGCATTTGGCACTGCAGTTCAGGTTTGCGGTCTGCACGGGCAGAGGGTCTTTGGGTCCTTTTGTGCGTGAAGGTCGAAGGGGTTTTAGTTTTTTTTTAAGGTTAAGGTTTAGGATTTTAGGGTTTTAGGGTTTAGGGTTTAGGCTTGAGGGGTTTTAGGTTTACAACAAGTTTGAGGCTTTTGCTGGTTGCGGGGTTTGTAGAATGGTTTAGTTCTAGGTTCTGAAGAAATGCGACGGCTTGGTTGTTGAGCATGTTCAGAGTTCGGCGCACCTTTCTGGTCCGAGGAAATGTCCAGGGTGTTGGGGGAGTTTTGGTGTGTTGGGGGTTGCATGGGTTTGGGAGGGTTTGGGGATGCAAAAAGGGTTTCAGAAACTATGGCCGTAGAAGAGGGGTGTACGAATTCAGTTTTAAAAGGACAGGGTTGGGGTGTTGAATGCCGTAAGGTTGAGGTTTAGGGTCAAGTGTGTTAGGCTGTAGGGGGTCAAGAGTTTTGAGCCAATTAGGGATTGTAGGTTGTTGAGGAATCAGGAAGTTTACTTGTGTTCGCCCATGGATCAGCTTATCAGCTTTGATATTTATTTTTTAGTCGTTGTTGCCCTTCTTACTTTCATCAGGCCTAACAGTCAGAACTACACTCCTCAGCAAGTAGAAGCCCTGCACCAAGCCTGAACTTGAAGTGCCTGTTTGGAACTGAAGTGGAGCGAAGGGCCTGCGGTTTAGCCTGATGGGTCGAGCCGTCAGACGTTGTGAGGGTTGGCTTAAGGGTTTCGGGGTTTCAGGCTTGAAGGCTGAATGTACAGTTTTGGTTTCACGGCAGCCGTTGGTTTCCAGCCTTCGCGAGAAGGCTTCAACAACACGTGACGCGATTGGACCAAACAGTACGAGACCGTATGCCACATGTCGGAAGATGCAATATTCATGCCCTAAAACCAAACCCTCAAACTTAAAACCCCCAAACCCTAAACCCTAAAACTTAAAGCAAAAAAAACTTAAAGCCCCCAAACCTTAAACTCATGCCCTAAGCCCCCAGAAGTTCCGAGAGGAAGCGCGGAGCGGGTTGTGTGCACGGTCGCCAGTGCACGCGCTGCCATCTCTGCCCCTGGTCGAAAGGCGTGCTGAAGATGGAGAAGAAGTGGAAGGTGCACGGAGTTTCGGTTTAGGGTTTAGGGTTTAGGGTTCAGGGTTTAGGGTTTCGGGTTCAGGGTTTAGGGGTTTCGGGTTTAGGTGAAGTAATGTTGCAGCAGGACGTTCATGACAGGTCGAAGTGGACGAGCCACCATAAGCCTCCACAAACAGAAAGCCTGAAGCCGTCATCCTTTGTTCCCTAGAAGATAACATCAGACCTCGCATCGGCCAGCTTTTAGGGGCTTTCATAATTAGAATAGGGTTTGGGGTATAATGTACTCTAGTTGTAATAAGGAAGGAGCCCCCCCAAGACCTTGTCCTAGTTATTGAGGCCCCTACATTACGCTCCGGAAGTCCATGGTTCCATTTCCCTGCCTGGTTCCGGACCTCCAGAAGAGCTCTGTTAGGGTTGCTACCAGGGTTCTTTAGGGATACTATAAGGGCACTACACAGGTTCTCTATAAGGCTGCAATGCCCTAAACCCTAAACCCTAAACCCTAAACCCTTGCTCTACCGGATGGATCGTGCGAGCGGCAGGATGCGCAGCAAGCACCAGATGGCATGGCAGCCTCCATCGGCTCTCGAGGCATTTCAGGGTTTCTTATTATAAACCCTAGTATGGGATTTATAGGGAACCTACAAAAAAAGTATATAGGTTTTGGGTTCTTAGGGTAGGTTTACCCAGAGAGCCCAATACCCCTTAGTTAAGGAATATAGCTTAAACCATAATGTTCAGGCGCCTATAATTTGAGGTACATTCCTTAATTAAGGGGTATTGGGCTTTCTGGGTAGGGCTTGGGGCAAAGATGGGTCTTGTCTCCCTGTAGAGCCTCAGGCGGGCAAACTCGGTGTTTGGTCGACAGATGGGTTGTGCTTCCGTCATCGTTGTTGCTGGTATTGCTTGTGCGTGAGCCGCCCGGCACATGGAAGGCCATCCAGAACACTGTGCCTGGGCTTGCCGCTTCATGAAGCGCGAAGCAGGCTGCATCAACAAGGAGCTGTTTAGCAAAGCTTGCGGTGCGGCATTCGCATGCGAAGGTTGTTAATTATGCTTGATGATCGCTTCTGATGCAGAAGTCCGAGTGAGAAGGTGTCGGATAGGGCCCGAACGATTCACCTTGAGGGAGGGTCCGTCTTGAAGGAGCTGTGTCCCCGCTGCCACCTCTGCACGTGGTCGAAGGCTGAGACAGTTTCATGAGAACTAGCTCGAGAAAGACTGACAGCATTGGAACGATGGGGTTAAAGACGTTTGCAAGTTCAGCCTACCCCCCCCCCCCGGCTCCCTGCAGTCTCCAGCCACGTCACTAGTCCTTGCAGCTTTGTTCGCTTGACTAACAGCATTGAGTAGTGACCTGGAAGGCAACGTTGAAGAGGGAGCAGGCAGCCAAGAAGCTGCAGCAGGCTTCTGTCTCAGTGGCCTATGCGGGCATTCCGCAGCCTGTGCCCTTCATGGCACAAGCCATGGAGAAGCCAGGAACGAGCTCAACTTTCCAAACCTGGCAGGGAAAAGCTGAAGATTTCAAGGACGAAACCGAAGCCGTCGGAAGTCAAAATCCAGATGCCCGACCTGGCGCGGTAACCTCAAAGCAGGGCAGCTGCGATTTGGATGTTTCGGCTGAAGAAACTTCAGCCGTCGTAAATTCGTCCGGGATAATCTGGGACCATGGCGTTGAAAGAAGGGCTGGACTCAGACTTTGCGCGGAGCGCGAAGCAACCAAGCACATAACTTTGTCATATCTCGTGTCCTGTGCATTGCTGCTGCATTCCTCTCGATTTCATTGTCTGCCTGATTTTTACGAACTACCCATAGGCCCCATAGTANNGTAATCCCAAAAAGGAACTAGTATGGGGCCTATGGGTAACTAAGGGGCCTTGGGCTTTTTGGGATGTAGCAGGCCAGCTTGAGCTTTCTGCAGGCATTGGAGGGGTCGCCATACTCGCACGGCTGGAATATTTCCGTGGAGATTGAGGCCGGGTTTGGATGCCGGCACAAGCGTTCCCTAAACCCTAAACCCTAAACCCTAAACCCAACCAATTTCAGTGAGAAGGCGCCTCGCGCGAACCTATCTGCACTTGGCGGCGAGCCGCGGCTTGGCGGCATCGGTTTCAACGGCTCTTTATCCCCGCTGCGCCTCCGGATTCTGTACTCCGATGATGATAGTTGGTCGGCATCCGTCGGTTAGTTGATGGGGATAGGGGTTAAAAAAAACTTAAATCAGGATCAAGAAAATTAAATCAGGATCAAAAAAGAATTAAATCAGGATCTAAAAAATTAAACGATTAAAATACAATAGGAGCTAGGGAAGGAAGGAAG